AGCCATTTTTACTTTTCGAGCTTGGTGTAACTGGATAGCGGGGGTGAGATAGGTTGAGATTCGGATTGGTGAGGGGTAAAGTTTTGGAAAACGGGATACTTTCAGGGAATTTCTTTCTTCGACAAAACGAGTAAGTCTTGAACGTTGTAGAACTGTCGATATTGACTTTGTTGAGATTCGTGGTTTGATTGTGAACATGAGGTATCCTGTGAGGATATAAACTTTCGAGCTTCCTGTTTTGGTGGATGGTGGGGTAAAATGGTGTCAATGGATTATGAAGGGTGGAAGGGACCGAAGGGTGCTGATAATATCTAATGAACTAATATCATTGGTTAACTGATATCGAGGATTTAGGCTTACATCGGCTTATACGAGGGCGTGTTTTTTGATGAGGGCCCGGGTCCGTGCGCAAGCACTTTTCACACCAAAAGTTACCTACTTTAGAATTCAATATTAAATTTAATTAATATTATTATATATTTGAAATCTTGTGTATAGGTAGATTTTAATATAAAATTTTAAAGTATAATTTTAGATTTTTAATAAAATTTTTAATCTGATTAAACTCCATATGGAATTATTAGGACTTAAAATTGTTATAAAAAATAATGCTTATTTTAAAAATTGAAATTCTATATAAGATTTATCAATCAATAATCTTATTAAATTTAATAAAACTGATACTGAAATAATTATTTATTAAATCTTTAAATATATTTTGAATTCAAAACTTTATAATAAATATTTGAATTATATTTTATTTATAAAAATAGGAAATAAAGTATGGTTTTGGTGAGGAAATTCGCTTAAATTTTATTCGGGCCCTCATCAAAAACACGCCCTTGTAATCTAAAGCCTGTAGCTAGTTATTTTCTTTTGATTTTTCTGGCAAAAAACAGCATGGGAAACCCTTCCTTCTATGGTATAGGACAGAGTAGTAGATGATGATTAGATGGTGATTTACAGTAGATTAGAATTATGATATCGCCATTTCATTATCAATATATTATATTTGTATAAAGTAATTTCACATGTATGATCTGCTCTTCATTGAAAGCCTTTTCCACTCACGTCTACTGCTACACACCTACCTAGTCTCACGTAGTCTAAACACGTATCGCTTATAGAGCGTATATTCACTTACTTGTCCGGACTCAACCTACTCACTGTGCTATTCGACAGACATTTGCTAATATCTAAGATACAAGGCGATATATGTTGCGTTAAGACTATTTCACTGTGAATAACCAACAGATAATTTTGATCGCATGACACCTTCCTTGAATTGGATCTTCATTGCCTTGAAAAACATTGAATCTGGTCTCAAATCTCTGTACTTCAGACTAGACTTCTGGAGAATTAGCAATAGCAGGATGATACGTTATGTCCCGTTCATTGCCCTCGGCGAGCAGCATTCAATGGCAACTAGGTGATCGATTGCCCAATATAGATATTCGTGGTTTCATAAGTCAAGAAACATGCATCATTAGGATGTTCTCATCTCGTATTGTTGTGAGTCGCTCTCGAATCTCTAGAATTGGGGGCGTCTTGAAATTTGAGCCTGATGCAACAAATGGTAACTTTGCATGCACATTTTACAAGTTGTGAGCTCTTGGAGACAACATAGTCACACCAGTTTCATGTTTGGAATAGCTTGGTGTGGAAGGATGAGAACCTTGCTATTCTCGAGATAGTGGTAAGTTTAACAATCACGCTCATATACTTATCCTCATACCAACATTGCCATGATCACGATCACGGATAGATCGATCTCATGCATATGTCCGCAGCGAGTGGTATTCGACCTGGAATGACAACACACAAGGACAACATAAACTCCTGCCTGCAGAACTACCGTCTATCATGTTTCTATTTTTGTTGATTGAGTTACTTCATCTTACGTGATGAATCGGAAAATTTGTGAATGTTATTCAGGCACCATGCAGTAGTTGGGAGAATATCTGCAATTCTGCTTCGATTGCATTACTTTACCGTATCATTACACTACTGGTCTTACTCAGCACACCAAGAAGGTTATTTTTCTTACATTATCCTTTCTCCTACCGGTACTATCACTTTCCCCTTTCAAACATACTCGAAACCTATTTTGAGACGAGGCTATAACAGAGTGTGTTATCATATCACGACTTACAGTGAGGCGCAGCTCCAAAAGGTGGTGTGGAGTCACGTCACTCCCTCCATTGCATACCTCTGCAGGTGTCCAATTTCAGGCACCGCATGATATCTTCCGGTATTCAATGTACGGACTGAACAGTCTTACACTCACTAGAGGCATATCTCGACTGTGTAGAGTGCCATTCCATATTAGATCTTCAGGAACGACTACATACATGTAGTATCGCGCTGTAAGAAGCATCCGTTTGTCACGATTGGGTGGGGGACTTTTGTACCTGCGCTAGGGGTTGCAAGAATCTTTTACCGTCACGGGGAAGTACATCATCCAGCAGGGACACGGACAAGATGCATTCTTCTGGAACATACACGGCGTCTAAGGTTCTGTCGCGTCGGCTAGAAACTAAAGGATGCTCGCCTCAGGTATACTTGAAGGGGGGTTTCATGGAAGGGGACACCAGATCACTCAGTGTAGATCGCAAACACCGTTCTACAATATTCTAAATTGAAGTTGACTTTATTAAGAGGTTTTCTTGGATCAAAAACTTGAGAGAAATTACCGAACTAGATCGCCGACTGTGGTATGTTTGTTTCTAACGATCTCAATGTGCATACAGCATTGTGACCACTCGTGAGTTACATAGGTAGATACGTACACACTGGAGAGATGGATAATGATGGTAAGATTGGTAATATTAGCCGGTCTTCCCCTGAGAGTTCATCTCATCTTCATACTGTTTCGAGGATCTCCCGCAAACAATGGAGATGGGAAATCCCTCCAAAATCTCAACTTTTGGTTGATGACGATTAACCTTAAGTGTTTCAAACATGACCCTTTTCCAAGAATCGATAGGTCTAGAGTTGTCAACTCGTATAGAACCTATTTGGAGCAATCGACTTTCTGCTCTAGGTAGACGATTTTCATAGCAGACACATGGCAGTAGGGTTTCATTGTGTCACACCCTTGGAGAATTCTAGTAAATAGCCTTTTCTTGGTGGTTGGGTCAAGTATTTCGGGGGCCTGTCCAAGGTCGTCACGGTGGATAATGGTATGACAAACGTTACCAAAGTGGAGAGTGGGTATCTGTAAAGTGCAGGCTAGGCTCTGAAGCTACTGTAAGTTCTGAGCATGCTGAGGTCGTAGCACAACCCCTCCCGATAAGTCCTCTCAGTCCTGTAACAGACCACACGATGAACCCACACAAATCCTTCTTGACTCCATTCCCATCATCTAATTAATCAGTCACCTATCATTCTCTTGGGAAACCAACCTCTCAGTGCTCTCATGCTATGGATACTATGGATACTACAACATACTTTGACGTTCCGGTTTTCCGCTGTCTACGCCATCGTAACATGAGCCAATGAAGAGCAATGAATCTCAAGAACCCCCATTCCCGATTCTTGCCCATGTCGAAGATCACTTAATCAATTTCGAACTTCATTAAATATCCATCTCAAATGAAACCGGAAAGAGGTTGCGATTAGTCAGTCTATGGTACCTCCGTATGCTACGCCTCACCCCCTCCCTCCCCCAAAGGATAAGAGAAGCTTACGTTGATGATACGAAGATTTGGTAGGTGTCTGAATTCTGAAGACGTATCCGGGTCCATAGGTAGGTATTATGCATGTTCAAAAACCAATATAGCTGATTGATTGAGAAGAATATTATACACTTGCAACACATGTAACGTCTTTCTATTAGTGGTGGCATTTCGAGAGTCCGAATATGAAATCCTTTTTGGGAATCAGGTGCAGATACGCCCATATTAATCCTTACCAAGTACCATGAGTAACTAGATACGGTGCGGTGTCCACTTTTGGATTCCCACGCCCTTGTCTCCCGGATTGTTGGGTTGAACAGAAGACGAACCAAACCCATGAAATTAATAAAGTTTGAAGAAAATACACACTTTTGTCACATGTATGCAAGCAGGCAGTGAGGAAAGACCAAAAGAATCCAAGACACAGCACGGTGGTATGGTTCGGTAAAAGAAAAAGAACAGGAACAAGACGAAAGAAAAAAAGTGGTCGATTATTAACATGTACCAGGTACTGACTGTCGCCTTCTAGAGATCAGATCATATAGCCTCATAAAGTTGTTTGTGCATACAGTATTATTTATATTGTATCTGTTCTCATTCTGGGTGTTGAGTGCTGAGGGAAAACTTCCTCAGCATCATTAGCCTGAGGACCGACGTCCTGCCTATCAGTCAGCCAGCCAGAAAATCTACATTACAATTTGGGAATATTGCGAATCTTTTGGTCCTGTTTGAAAACCTATCTCCCGATTCACAACTGTATCAGGAAGATATGGTAGATGCAATATCAATTTGAGATATTCAAGGAGGGGCGCAATCTTTTTGCTTTCCAATTTTAGAGTGGGCTGAAATTACCGTTATCCTCTTCCATCAACTCGAGTTAAACGACGGGCCGCATCTGCTGGGAGTAAGAACATGGCATGCCAAGGATATAACAGGGGGAGGCAGGGGGTTCGGATGAAAAGCCCCAGCCCATTGGTTGTGTAGCCGTGCTTATGGTGTCTTTGCTCTTTAGTCCTAGATGAGTACCCAGGCGCAGACCTTTCCAGCGAATGATAGATGCTTTCCATCTGCAAGTTTGCTGCAGACTTACAGACCAACACATTAATTCGGTCATTTTTGTTTATTCTTGTCTACTCTACTGTATCATCCCATCTAGCAGCACTACATACACTTACTTTGACCTGCATCTACAGCCGGACAACCTAACTCGTTTCAGCAATAGTCATTCTTTTGTGATGAGTAGAATGTTACATTTTGCATCATATTGTTCATAAATAACATCGAACTACTTACTTTGCATAGAACTCGTGCATGGTCCATAAGCGCAAACATCAGGGGTGCCACGAGCGAAAGCTGACACTTTGAATTTGATGCGGGATCCGAAGCCATGGGGTATGATTTCTATAAGCGCCCTCAGACAAGGTCTGCAGTATGCATGGGGTTGATGGGCAACGGGCAGCCTTCCACGACTTTCCTCCTCGTCTTGTCTTTTTTCTCTCTGCCTCCAACCATTCTTCTTTGTAAACATAATCGCGAAGCCAGCAATGCCCCGCGATAAGTTCTATCTTTGTGCATCTACTGCGCATTTGTCTAGGGACATTGGAAGTACATGACATATACATTTCAAAAATTATCTTACACCCTGAAGCATCGTCACCATCCTAGACTCTGCTCACTAAAGACTTCAAGTGCCGGTATTGGCTCCTGCGCTGAAGCTCCCGCCCCTGACATTATCTATATTTTCCAAAAAGGCTGTGCAGGGCTGTAGGGATACATCTCTGTTCGTTTCCAATTCGAGGATAATCATCATGTCGAGCCTTAAAGATATCATGGACGTAGATGTGGAGCCTCTTGAATCTCAAGCCTATAGAAGGAAGGAGGCCGCTCAACAACAAGCTTCTCGATCATCCATTGATCCTTCATCTCAAAGTCCCTCTCCTCAGCTTGATGATACTAAAGGGAAACTATCTATGAACCATCGAAGATCAAATCGAGTTTCAAAGTCGTCTACTCAACCTACAATATCGCGGCCCAATTCATCACGGCGGCGTAGCAGCGGTGCCGGAGAAGCCATGGACTTTTCGACCTATCAAGGTGGCGGATCAAACCAAAGAAGCATATCGGGCAGTCCCTCACAAACATCTTCGAGAGGGGGAATGGAACCAATGGCAGATATAGTGCCTATCAAATACACACCTGTGACTGGACGTATTAGCAGAGCAAAGAAGGGTATACCAGTTCATACATGCGACGACTGTAGAAAGGTTCGTTCTTAAATTCAGTTTACTTTCAAGCCATAAGCTAATAAAAACACAGACATTCACCAGGGCGGAGCATCTCAGGTAAGGATTTGAACGTCTCAATTTGACTGTGCCATAAAGAAACTCTTTGCGCATGCCAAGATGTAGATACTGTAGTTACAGCTATTCATGTAGTCATGAGTGGTAATTTGGGTTGGAATGGACGCTTAGGAAAGAAGAATATGGACTAATTTTCGATATTTTCGATTACAGAAGACACAAACTCAGCCATGGTAAACCCGCCTATCCATGTACTTTTGAAGATTGCGAGAGAACATTTCATCGCCCGGACCTACTTGCACGTCATTTCAATCGACAGTGTGTTTCCTCCTCTCCCGCTTGAGAACATGGCTAATGAAATAAAGCGAGACACAAGGCGAGAAGGCATACAAATCTAGTGACCCAAGAAGCAGGGCCTCCTCAAGCGCATCGGAGAGTGCTCCTGTAAAGTTAGAACCTACTCCCCATGGAATCCCCATGGGCCTAGGTCAGATGTCTCCAGAAAATCCAATGACACCTAGAACTTCAGCGGGAACGGATCATTCTGCTCTAGCACCGACTTTCAATACAATGACGGGGAATTTCCAACCTGTTGACTTTTCATCGGGAAGCTCTCATAGAGGGTCTGTCAGTCAAGCTCAAGTGACTGATGTGGATGTGTACACTACGGCATCACCTGGTTCGGTCCCATCTAGGTAAGATTGACCACAACTCTTATAACATTTTCCGCTTAGATATCTTGATTTGTGCCGTTCATTCATTTATCCAGACAAGTTACAGGGACTGCTTGACTGACTTCAGATAGGACCTACGCTGAGATGACCCCAAGCTTTAATGTACGACCTATGCCAGACTTTTCTGAGCAAGACCCTTATCGGGCAACGAACTCCAGCTTCCAAGGGTTATATACTGAGGAAGTCTCCTCATTTCATTCCTATAGCCCCCCTCATGCTCTACCACTTCTACGCATTCCAGAAGAACCTTATATGCCAAGTTTATCTTACACGCACGACAACTCACCCTGGTGTTCATCGGCTTCCGATAGCACATATTCAGAGAGCTCACGCACGGGGAGAATAGCGCACAGAGGTCGATCTGGATCTTTAGTCACGGCATCTGAATGGCCTGTTCCGGTTCCCAACGCGCAGTGGACCCATGGTATGAAATATCACCACAATCTTCGAATCATGAACTGATGATATTATAATATAGGCATGGCTAATACAGCTCAAGACCTTAGAAGTCCACCTTACGAAACAATGATGGAATCTTATGATGCACCTTACACGCCCCCTAGAATGTCACCGCCATCTCGTCAATTGCTTGATGTGCCTGCTTATAATCTGGGGGGTTATTATATGGAATCAGTGGGTAATCCTCACACCTCAACATATAATAAACACTTGGCTCAGACTTTTCTTCCAGCGTCCCCTTCGCGAGTATCCGACCCCCGACTGGCAGTCCTTGATAGAAGATCGAAGGAGCTGGTGGGATCCCAGCAATTAGATACACTGACGAACATCGAAACGGTCATTTCATCTCCTTCCCAGTCCGCAACTTCTAACCTCGACACCTATCTTTCTTTATATTGGAACAACTTCGATAAGCTGTTCCCAATGATTCACCGAGGAACATACATACAGAATCAAAATTTAGCACTCACCTTCGCAATGGCTGCCATCGGCACCCAGTACCATACAAATCCCGAAGCACGAAATCACGGCGTGGAATTCAACGCTTACTGTACTATCATAATTCCTGTGGCCTTTGAATGGCCAATACAAATAATGCAAGCAATATTACTTACAGAGATATTTACTCGTTTCCGTGGTACAAAGACTACGGTTCGCCTATCTCGCCAGTTCGAAGAGTCATACAATAGAGTGAGTCGATGCTACCAAGGCTATCTTAGATATATTCATTAACGTCTAGCAGCTCTCGAACCCTTCACCAATTTCCGATACCAACACTACTCCTACTACTATAAGCACCTCTAATGTTCTATCCAATCACTTCAATATACGAACTAGATCTCAAGACATCCAAAGCAATTGGTTGCTCTGGGTCGACACCGAATCACGACAACGCCTGCTATGTCTCTGCTTTATTTTCGATATCCAACAAGCCATGTATCACCAGCAAAAGCGAGCCAGACCATATGTCGATCTCAACATACTGTACACACCCTGCTCGGAAGTTCTATGGGATTCAACTAATGCAGCTGACTGGGCTACCAACAAGACAGGAAGCAATGTAGGGAAACCACTCAATGTCGTACAACATCAGTACACCCAAGAAAACTGTGCTGAGCCTTCACATTTTGCTCAGTCACTCAACGTGTGTTTCTTGACATCTCAACTTCCCAACCGTGTCGATCCTGACCATCACTATCCAAACGATTATCAAATACACAATATATATCCCACAATACTCGAACTTGTAACATTATCTTCAGCATCTTCCATGGCATATACCTATATCGCGTTGTACCATACGCCACTGCGCGACCTTTTGGCTGTGAGCGGGGATACCTGGGTGTTTTCTCAAAAAATCACGAATCAAACCTATTTCCGCGAAGCACAGTCACGCCTGAAAACTTGGTCATCGTCTCTAGCAGCAGCCACCGCCACACATTATGCTTGTCGCATCTTACTCTCCGAGTTTTCAGTGCCATACGTTCCATCTTCCAATAATAACACAACGCAACATTCTCCGGACCTCTCTCACTATTGGTCTTTGAATATGGCCGCGTTGATCTGCTGGGCATTTGGACACCGAATCAGCGGAGTCAGCGGTGCTTTTACAGCTCTAGACTTCGACACTTCTCCCGAAGCTTCGGGAGATGTACGACTTAAAGCTCTCGTGTATCTCAGTTCTATGGTAGAGCTAGATGTCAAAGATCTCCTGACTGGCAAGGCGACCATGCGGGGAGAAATCTCTTTTATCATCGATGCAGTGCGCGCAAGACTAGAGATCGATAGTGTTGGAGGCCACTGTATGAATCTCGTTGAGTCCATTTGTGTTTTGAAGCGTCTCAATGAGAGCGGAAGAGGAAAGTGGTTCTAAGTTTTTTCTTCTCGTCTTTCCCATGTTCAGTTATTTTCCTTTGATCATTTCCTTTACTTTTCCATTTCTTTCTTAGATCAATTCTTTTGAATCGACCTTGTGCGATAAGTTTCTTGGTATCTCTTCACTTCCTATCTGAGGAAGGAAGCGGACTGGCACATGTCATGCCTCGAGTAATGATGACGGATTTCATTTTAAATTTCCTAATGTCTGGTTTCCTTCTATACATGTTTTTCATCTTCTTCATCTGGCGGGAATGTTCATTTCTTTACATTTTGTCAAGCTGTACGAGTACATTTCCTCACCTGTGTTACCACCTTCCCACCTGTATCTTTTATTTCCTTCCTATACTATTATTTCCATTTCTACATTTCTCTCATGCTTCCTTTCCATTTCCCGAGTTTTCATTTCTCCCTCTGCATATGATTGATGTTAATGAGTAAAATGCATATGGTGACATATCATATCCAAAATGATAGTGTTATAATCGAGGGCTTAAGGGAGGTTTGGCTGATGGATGGGACGGATCGCACCACATATACACATGCACATTTAATGCATAACATATTCATGATACCCCGGAGGACGCGAGAGAGCGAGTCGGAGCAAGGAAACGAGGAGGGGCGGGCAAGGGAGGAAGGAAAATTTGCGCCTTTGTACACTATTGCATTGCATTGCATTGCATTGCATTTGTGTTGTATTGTATTGTATTGCGTTGCACCTCGCTTTTTTTCGAGCATATAGATATAGATATTAATTGTTTATATCATAAACATCCACATCCACATCCATATCCGTAGTATCTACAGAAACTCAAAAACTGAGTGACCATGAGCTTTGCACCAAGATAAATAAGTAAAATAAAGCAAGCAAGACATATACAGTATCTGCAATTAACCATGCCAATACCAACTCTCCTCGAGAAATTACTTGTATCCAAAAACTCCCTACACACAATCGATCCATGATCCATCGGCTCCCGAATCCTCATCTCGTACAAAACCCACAGAACCTATCCACCGTAGTAAGTAGCACCGCCTATCTTGAACCCTCCTCCCATTCACCCATTCATCTATCCCAAGCACTGCACATTGTACATACATGTACATACCTACATACATGAACACACGCATACACATCATAGACCCCGATCCCGACAAAGAGAGAGAGCCCGACGCATACTGCTGTCCTCATATGCCATGCCATGCCATGCCATGCTAGAAGGGCCTTTCAACAATACTCCGTACACAAAGTCCTCCTCATGGCCCCGAGATAGATAGCCCTCAGGATTCGGAAGCGAAACCCTTTTTGTACGAGATATATTTCAGATAAGAACTACCAATTCATTTGACTTTTAATAAGGTTTTGTCACTTTCCGAACCCAAGGAATATACCCCCAAATTCTATCCCACCACAAGTCATTTCAGACCACTGCAGCAGCAGACGTGTATCGTTTCAAGTAGTCGAAGTTGCACACACAAACAGACCCAAAATTCAAACACCCAAAATCAAATTATTGAAACTGCATTTTTATTCATTAGAGACGAGAGGAAAGCCTTTATTTACAATTTTCCAAAGTGGTACGCTTGCTTGCTTTCCTCCACTCACAATTTATCTTTCATGAATTGACCAAACCCATCATCATCAATCAATCACTAACTAGACTAAATACCAACTAACACCAGAATGTCGGCGAAGTCAAGAGAACCATTTGTAACTTTGTAAAACGGGAACTAGAAAATTCAATGCAACAAGGGCGGGCAAGGGTACTCAGCCGGTATCAAAAAGCACAATCCACACTCTCTCCTTCTCATTTACGCTTATCCCACGTTAAACCCCTTCCTCCACATTACGAACTCCTGGGACAAGGCAAACAAGGATCTGGTAATATCTTACAGTTCAGGAAAAAGGTGTGCCTCCCAGAGTATAATCGCTGTGTCTGTCTTACCACAACCATCTCATCCAGCCACTACTTTCATCCACTTATTCCTTGTGGAATTTTGCCTTCAACTTGCCAAAAAAGCTAGTACGCTTCTTCTTTTTGTCAGCCGCGGCAGAGTTGTCTGCGGCATTGGTGCTTGATGGAGTGGCGGATTCGGCAGAGGACTTTGCGGGGGTCAAGGTAGCACTCTCCTTTGGAGGGGTAGCTGGAGCAGAACCTGAGGTTTCGGGAACAGTTGTAGAACCCAGTCCACTGGTAACAACAGGTGCAGCGTCTTCTCCGGTGGCGGGACTGGTGTGAGGTGAAACATCCCTGGAATCGATTGGCTTTGTTTCTGTTGCTGCTGGTTCAGAGATGGTGGGAACGTTGGTGGATTCAACCCCTGTGGTGACAGATGGGACAGTAGCAGCAGAGGTGCTTGGAACCTCTGTGGAGGTGACTCCACTGGTGACAACTGGGGCAGTAGAAGCAGCAGGTTCAGAAGGCTCAACAGCACTTGTCGAGTCAATCTTTGGTGCAGGTTCACCGGTTGAGTTTTCAGGCTTAATCTCGGACAACAATTCCTTCTCGAAGGCCTTCTTGTCGAGGACAGCTTCTTCGTTGGCGGCAGCCTCTGGGCTTTGACCTGATTCAGCAATTGACTCCTTGACAACCGCAGGGGTGTCCTTGGCAGTGGATGTCTCGGGCTTGACTCCGGACAATAATTCTGCCTCAACAGCTTTCTTGTCGAGAACAGCTGCCTCGTTAGCAGCAGCTTCTGGGCTTTGACCAGACTCAACAATTGATTCTCTGACAATTTCTGGAGTGTCCTTGGCAATTGTTTGGTCAACAGTGCCGGTGGCGTTGACCGATTTGATGGACTGTTGAACAGATTCTGGCAACTTGCTGGTCAAGCTCTCTGGAAGGTTGCTTGGAATGCTTGCAACGGTCTCTGGAAGTTTGCTTGGAATGCTTGTAACGCTCTCTGGAAGCTTACTTGGGATAGCGGAAGCAGCAGCATATGCGGCACCTCCTACAGCGATGGCAGCTGCTCCAACAGCAGCGGCAGCCTCACCTGCAGTAACAGTCTTTTCAGTCTTGGTTGTTCCTTGTCCAGCAATTCCTTCAGAAGTTGTTGGAGCAACACCAACTTCCCTCTTAAGCTCCTTCTCAACGGCGCTCTTCTCAGAAACTTCGGATGGAATTGCGCTGGCCTCTGGAGCAAATCCTGCCTCCTTTTGGCTCTCCTTGACAACTTCTGGCACCTTTGTCGATTCGAGTGGAACCTTGGCGGCAAGGATTGATGTTGTGGTTTGAGGACCGGCAGATTGGATGGTTGGGTTTGTCGCATCAAATGTTCCCGCTTCATCGACTCCAGTTGGCAAGCTTGATTCAGGAATCAAGTTCTTGGTTGAAGAAGACAAACCGAGGATTCCAGTACCATTAAGTTCGCGTTCCGCCTGAGGAGTGACAACTGGAGGAAGGATGGGAGCATGGCCCAATGCGTCGCTGTTTTCATATGATTCCTTGTCGGTGCGAACCGCTGAGTGGATGGTGTTGGTAGTGAAGTCGCTTGATTTAGGGATCTCTTCTCCAGGCGCAAGTTTTATAGGGTTTACTCCACCAGCAAAAGCGGGGAGCGGTGAGACACCAAACGTAGACTCGGCTTCGGATTTGGCTTTGTCTGCAGCGACAAGCTCGGGGTCATCATGTACGCCGGAAGTGATATCGTTGGTGGTGAAAGAGCTTGGATGTGGAACATTCTCTCCTGGTGCGAGTTTGATAGGATTGACAGCACCATCTGCAGCGGGCAGAGGATTCACAGAGAAATCACCAGTTTCTACAGCCGCTGGAGTTTCGGGAAATGCTCCAGGCAAATCTGAAGAGCCATTTTGGGCGAGTGGGGATTTCTCTTTCTCAAGAGGAACATCCTTTGCCAATTCTGACGTAGTGGAGGTTGGGGCAACGCCAGACATAATTCCAGCGGTTGCAGGTGTATGTTTGACAATTCTATCTGTTGTGAGGACGTTGTTTAAATTTCCCGATGCGTCGTTTTCTTGAGGAGCGGTGTGATCTGTCACCCAGTTACCGTCGACGACGAACTGTGTGGTATTCGATTAGCTTTGTGAAAAATTGTGAAAAATTGACAAGGTTCGAGAGAAACGGCAGGAAGAAAAAAAGAAGAAGATGGGTCAGGCTATGTTTTTAAAAGAAGGCCGGTAGTTGAACATAGCTGAAGCAAACAAACAAGCGGGGTTGGGGAATAGGCGGGACCTAGCCTGCGTGTACAATTAATCATGCAAGCAACAGGCCTGATTATTTTTGGGAGTGAATTTTGCCAACTTCGAAGCCTGGCAAAATCAACTTCATGCGTCATAAGTGGAGGAATTTTTTTTAAAGCTGCAAGTCTCACTTTGACGCATGCTTCGAGAGTGGGAATTTGAATCACTAGGCGCATTTGACGAGCGACCTCGATTTCAATTTCGACCATGTCGCAATCATTGTGGCCATTGTTGCCACGATCGTTGTCGCCGATAAAAGCAAATTCCAATATCGCATCCAAATCATCCGTCATGTTAAGCTCACCTTGTAATAAATCTTTTCTCCAGCGTTTGCCAGTTGGACATCCTTCGAAAAGACATCGCCGTTCTTTACTAATTTTTCGCTCTTGGACCAGTTGTCGAATGTTCCAGTAACATAGACCTCTTCCGCAGGATGCTCCCTAATGAGAACCAATTTGGTTAGCGATTGAAAGAATCAAATTGATCGCGTATGGCTTGATGAAAATTTGTGCCACTGTGAAGAGAACCTCTTGCGCATACTGGTATGTGTTGCAGATGATGGGGGATCGGAAATGCAGAAGAGAGGAGTCTTCTCAGAACCTCGAATTTGTCATTGGACAATTGAAACGATGATTTCCAGCAGGATATAAATATAGAAGAAGAAAAAGCAAAAACTTACCACTTGAAAACAAAGCTTCCCATTTTGATGGGTATAGGGTATTCAGCAAACAAGAAGAGATAATGTAGGTGAAGCTATCGTAGGTAATAAATAAATGAAAATGATGAATCAAAGACGAAGTTTTGTTGGATGTCGAGGAGAAAAGCTGAAGGTGGAATAATAAGATTCGACCTTTTTGAGATTTGATTGTGTTATGCGTAGTAGGGTAGGTAGCAGATAGTAGGTAGTAGGTAGTAGGTAGTAGGTAGTAGGTAGTAGGTAGTAGGTGGTAGGTGGTAGGTGGTAGGGTAGAAGTTGGTGGTCGGAAATTATCTGGGATTGGCGCAAAAACGGTTCAGTGCGGTTACAGATACGGACGATAGATGAGCTCTTTGTACAAAGTTGGTAGGTATTGGTAGGTGATGAAGACTTTTGGCTGGATTTGGATTTGGATCTGACTCTGGATCTGACGCTGACTCTGACTCTGACTCTGACTCTGACTCTGACTTTAACTTTAACTTTGAGAATTTGACTCTGTTGGAGTATTAATTGATTTGTTTCTTTCGATAAGGGAAGAAGATATCACTGATAACCCAAGTTTTAATCTAATTTTAAATATGCGATATGCGAGTCTTCCAAGGTTATTACGGTACGGTACTGGATGGAGTGAATCGAGAAAGAAGGAATTTCCCACTCGAAGATTCTCTTTATACAATGGAATAAAATGTGGTGAGAAAGATAGCAGAAGGTAGTAGGTACAATACGGTACGGTACGGTAGGTATGGTATGGTCTTCATGGGATTCTTCTTCTTTGCCATCCAATCAATTGCTAATGAGGAGGCTGGCGGAGAGATAAGAGAGGAGGGATTATGAGTGAGCACCTAGGGATGGATGAGCATGAGCATGAGCATGAGCAT